GAGACACTCGAGGAGTGTTTGCACCTTGCTACCATAGAAAAGATCTAAGGGGCTATAGGAGGAGATGAAGGAGCCAAGTTGGCAAGTTGCAGACAAGTTTTAAATGAATGAGCATCGGCTTCCGTTCGATGCGTTCGTAGCTGGCCAATGCCCAGAGCCTGGGATATCCCACATAGATGTACATCTCAGGGTTACAGATGTGTGTGTCCATCCTGTGAAGCATGACAATGGCCAAAAGGATGCTTGCTCGAGTGGCGACCACTTGCCAATTGCGATTATGGTTTATGTTCGGACCCCCCGATAAAGGTCGTCAATGGGTCGCCGCTGGGACACCACACACCATCGACGAATCCCTTTTCGAGGAGCAAGTTTTCCCACTTCGATATCAGTTACTGTTGGAACTTTTTGCTGACCATTCGAGCGCCTTCAATGGCTCAATTATCCTCCACTCTGTCTGTCAGTCTCTCTCTCTCTCTCTGTCGTTGGACAATTTGCGAAGGATAACTCCTCGTGGCGTCACTCAAGCGCACACATACATAAATATACACATAAACACAGTAGATTTGAGCCGAGATTCCGAGTGTTATTAGCGTAATTGAGTTTGCCAGCCAATTATCCATGCAATGGGCCGAAAAGTTGGAACCAAATTTAAAGATTTCCGCACTTTGAGTGCGCACCCTTTTCCGGGTGGGCGTTGGTTTTGTCCTTGAATTGAAATGTTAATGCAATTTCTCGCTCACTGCGGCCGGAGGAGAAATGTGCAACAGTTCTTGAAAATTGCATTTTCTTAATTTATTTGCTATGCAAATTTATTTATTGACTGACGCACCGAATGTCCAGCGTATGGCACAGGCAATGGCATGGCCAGCCATGGCATCACGTTGCAACATGGATATGCAACACACACCGACAGAGAGAGAGGCAGGCAGACAGACAGTCGATTGCATTCTTCATAAAGGGAAATCCCCCAACAACGGCTGGCAAGGGAAAGAGCGATGTGTCATTGAGCGCAAAGGCTGTGTTGTACTTTGGAGGGTGGTCCCGTCATCAGACAATGTAGCCTTTGCATCCTTGGCTTTATTTGGGTTTTGAAATTAGAAACCCAAATCTGGTAATCAATGTGAATGTGTGTGAGTGTTCGATATAAGCCAATCAATGGAAATAATGCATTTTGTGTATGAAGAATGTATGGGAAATGCAGTAAGAAGTCAAGTTAAAGATCAGAGTAATTAAGAGGAAAAAGAACTGGCAAACGGATCACTCCCTCTTTGATCTTTACGGAGTTATAAAGCTTCCTAAGAAGAACTCTCTGAGTTTGTCTAATGGTTGGCCTCACAAGTCCTACAAATATGATTTGTAAACCAATTACATATCAACTTTCATTCTCTTAGAATTGAAGGTTCCAAATTATTGCATAATCCTTCTGTAACATTTGTGCCTCTTGTCATGTCCCATCTTTTTCGCAGACTTTAAGGCACACAAAAAAGTCTCCTCACCCACACTGTCCAACAAATTGGAGGAAAAACAATACAGAACCTAACTGTAAAACAGGAAGTGTAACCACAAAAAAGGGCAACAACCCCCTACCCTACCCCTACCGCAACGAGCAAAAGACAATGCAAGTCAAATTACGTCACGCGACCGAAAAATTGTTCGCCCCATCCCTCTCTCACTCCAAAGCTCACTCCAAGCTCATTCCTGGGTTTCAAGTGCTCTCTACCTTCCCATTCCCCTCGCTCAGCAGCAACTTCTTCTCACACCACTACTTCTGCTCTTACTCGCATCAAGTATTCTCTTCACTCATCACCCCACACTACTTCACCCATCGTTCTTCCTCCTTCTCTCTCTCTCTCTCTGCTGTCCCTGAAAAAAAATTTACTGTGTGAATTTTGGGCTGCAATCCGCACGTGTATGTATGTACATGCGCACCCAAAAGGAAGAAAGAGAGAGAGAGAGAGACAGCGAGAGTGTGGCGAAAGGATATGTGGCATTGGCAACCACAATGCCAACCGAAATTGCCAACTTAATTTATGTTCGACGCTAATTAGCGCCATAATTTAATTTCCAATTGGAAAAACGAAGAGAGCCAAAAAAACGTTGAAGGGTTTTTCCCTGGCAGAAAGGGGCTGACTAAAGCCACTGGGCTTGAAGTGCGAATCGAGAACTGGGCTAGCAATGCAATAGGTACGCAAAAAAAAACATAGAGCCAAATTGGCCACAGCGTGCCTGTTGCTCTCAATTGGAAATACAGTTATCAGATGCACTCTTTACTACAAAAAACACACACAAAAACGGCACTGCACTTGCGGTAAACACAATTTTCGGCTCTCTCTGTCTTGATAGGCTGGAACGGGGTATGACTATTAAAGCATGCATTTTGCGTACAAGCCTGAAATACTTTCAGCATTAACTTGGGAATTATTTTACTATAATAGGAATTACTTGACTATTCTGTCTGTCGGCTAGACTCCACTACTTCTTAACCATTTCCCCCCATTGTCCATTAAGTAGTTCCTCGTATAGTTATCGTGTTTCAAATAAGGGTATCTTTTAGTCGCTATGTATAATCAAAAAGAGCGTTCTGGTGTTCCATGCGCACTGCATGCAAAATGTTGAAATTCGTAGCTGTCAAAATAAGCTCGAATTAAATGCAGCGCACATATGGAGTGTGCCCCAAAAAACACACGACATACACCCCAAAATACATACGCACCCCTCCCTGCACACAAAGCAGCGCCATAGTCCCCCGCTACACGCCACGAAAGCGCTGCCCCCACTGACAAATGATGTTGACCGCCCATGGTCATGGATGCTAATTAATCTTGATTTTCAACGGAACCCCAGGCGAAGGAGTGCAAGCAAGGAGAGAGAGAAGGATAGGAAGAGGGGTAGAGTGAGAGGTTGAGTTAGAGATAGAGCTGGCGAGAACGCTAGGAGTGTATATCCTTACGTCAAAGTGACAATTAAATTAATCATGATGGCAAACGATTATGTCAACAGGACACACTGACACAGACCACCCGCTGTGAAGGCGGAATTGAGGGTCAGTTCAGGATGTACGCGTGCATATGGTAGTCACTGTGTAAGTACGTACACATACGGGGAAAGGAAACCCTCGGCCGGTGCAAGAATCTAATTATATCCGACATCAAACTTATAATTAACATTTTGACCGCAGCACAACATTTTGCAAAAAGCTAAAAAGAAACTGCAGAAAAAGTGGAGAAAAGTAGCAGGAGAAATGGGCAGAAGGCAACAAACACGCTCACACACACACACACACACACTCCACCCGAAGGCATGTGCAAGAGACATTTTTAATTAGTTTTGCGGTTGACACACAAACTAAATTTCAAATTTAAAGAAATTTAAACTTATAGAATAATGCCACAAAATAATATTAAATTTAAAGAGTTTTTCATTGGAATTCAATTAGCATTCTCTTAAATCTGAGAAATTTTCAAGTACTTTTGGTGTTTTCCATCAATCTTTAATGAAACCAAATGCAAAATTCAAATTAAATTTAAAAAAAATTACAATTACACATTTTGATTACTCATCCCTCTCGCCGACTAAATTAGAGTGAATAAAACTTGAACAATGACCATATTTCTTGGAGTTTTATTGCTTTTACTATTCATTTGGATTGTGATTAAGGAACCCTAATATCAAATACAATTTCAAATTCACGCGCCTAAGTACTCCACACAAATTGGCAGTACTCAATGAACCAGCAGTTGGCGAACTTTGAACATAGTTCTTAGCAGTGCTACCAGACCAGGTATGTGGCAACGCCTACGATTTAGACAGGTGCCGCCGCGAGCACTTCATCCCTGTGTAGTTTTCAAGTCGCAAATGGGTAGTTACCATGTAAAATCAAAGCCATTTTTGTTGACTTTTTTTACATAAAACTAATTTTCTCAGCCACAGAGCAGAAAGAAATGTATTAAAATGTCAAAAATTATAGCAAATTAATTTATTTGTCCAATAAAATTATAAAGACAGTGTTGTGAGCTCCAGCTAGCCAGCAATACTTAATCGAATATCAAAATCGAGTAATATCAAAAACAAAACAAATAGCACACATAGTGTAAACGTTTTTTACAGTCAAGTAGTGTGGTACATACATTGGTGGCAGCACGAGGCGGCTCGAGCAGCGTTAATAAAAAAAAGTAAATTTTAAATAAATTTCTAAATAAACCAAAACCAGACAATAGACAACATGACGGAAGCCGAACAGGAGGTGGAGGTGAATGGCACCGAGGCGGACGATGAGGCGCAGGACGAGCTGGACCCAAAACAAAAGAAACAAACGCGTCATGACGACGGCGCCGCGGATCTGGAACGTGTTACGGACTATGCGGAGGAAAAGGAGATCTCTGCAGCAAATATATCCAGTGTGCGTATAACCAGGTGTATATCGTATGCCCAGAGAATCAATCTAAAGGTTTCTTTGATCTGCAGGCGGTGGCACAGTTTGGCAATCAGCGCAACAAAGAGAACGAGCTGCGTGTCGCCAAGGAAAAGGAGCTGCAATTGGTCCAAGTGAAAAAGGAAGACATCGAACTGATTGTACGTATACAGCCGTCCGCCTGGACACAGTTTGGAGTGTGCGTGTGCTCAATTATCTTCTCTTGCAGATGAACGAGCTGCTGGTTAGCAAAGCGCATGCCGAGAAGGTTCTACGGGAGCAGAGAGGCGATGTTGTGGCCGCCCTGGAGGCCATCATCAGCAATTGACGGTGCTACTGGAGTCCGAACCATCTGTGTACCATCTTTTACTTAGCATAACATTGCTTTATTTGTACATTTATAAACCTCTTAGTGAAGAAACAAACGTAAACAAACAATGATTTATAGTTGATTTTTTTTGCTCGTGGTAATGCTTGGATTGGGTGGGGGGAAATCCAGTTGAATTTAAGCACACAAACATAAATATGACATTCAAATGAGTCCCCGCAGTCGTACAACAGCACTCTCTGGCAATATAAACACTTTTTATAATGATTTAGTTGACATTTTATTCAGAGTATCCCACAACACTGAACCCAATGAACGACGATCGATAGGATGCGTGTCCTTAAGAAAAAACCAGTTTACAATTTGTCTATCCAATATGTTCTTTTTTGCATGTATTGTATGTATCATTTGCATTATGTCTAAATATCCGAAATCTAAATAATGAAAAAAGCACACATATCCATGGATTTCAGCCTCCCACTTATAGATACTCGTACTCGTAGATACGTGATGTGACTTAATGGCAGTTGCGTTCGCTTCGCTTCGCTTTGCTTTGCTTTCAAACATGCCGCAGAGGGGGGTGGAGGTGGCTAAATGGTATTGCACTATAATTTATATATTCAACTGCTGGAGGACAACATCTTCTACCATGAACTCTTCCAGTTTTTACCTTCAAGCCATGTAAAAGCTCTATTTGATTGGTCGAGGATGGTAAGGAAAGGAAAGGTGTTTCAGTACACATATAAAAATGATAACAATCAAATGATAAAACAATGAAATTCATTTATAACAACTATAAGCAATGGGTGTGTATGTGGGGGGAGGTGTGGAAAAGTGGGTATACAAACTACAACCAAGGGAAATGGCTTTTGAAAAGGGAAATTTCGTGTAGCATCAACGTTTAACTAGATTATGTGATTAAATACTTTTGCAGATTCTCGCACGAAGGCGTATTGATATTCTGCGCCTTGCGATACAGGTCCCGATCGCCAAACGTACGCGCCTTGGCCAACATAGAGTCACCTGTAAAGGACCAAACATTAGCCATGAGTTCATGGGCAAGTGCCGCCTTGTACTCACGATAATTGCGTTCACGACTGCAAGAGTGCTTGAGATGATTGACAAAGTCCTCCTCAACGGACTCCTCCAGTCGTGCCACTGAGCCCTGATACTCTGAATAGAAATTCTCCTTGACATAGTAAGGAACCTTTAGGCCGTTCGTCTCACGCTTCACCGAGTATTTACTTGGGTAGAAAATGTAGTAAAGATTAGCAAATGTCCATAAGATATAGGATTAGGAGGAGGACCCTCTGGGGTACTTACTGCGAGGGCGTCAAGCTGTACATAGGATCAGAGATAAAGAAGGACGACATCATGGACAGGCCAATGAGCAGCAAGATGGGCAACAAATTAATCAAAGCCGATGAATTATTTCCCTGTAAACACAAACAATTAGACTCTAGATAAGCGGCTGCCTTCCCCATGGCTGGGTTCAAAGGTCACGTCACGTCACGCCACGCCACATACCTCTCGATCCTCACGTTGCTGCCTTTGACGACGTTGCTGGCGCATGTACACATTCTGTTGGGGGAAACCGCCATTGAAGAACATATTGAACAGCTCCTCGGCACTGATGTCGGCCTGGAAGCCGCGCGAGTATCCATATTCATTGTAGTACTGTCCATGTCCATGGTTTCCGCCTCCATTATTATGACTATGTCCACTGCCTGTCTCGTTGATGCCATAAAGATCATAATTCTTGCGTTTCTCCGCATCGGTCAGGACGCCAGCAGCATTGCCGAGTGCCTTGAAGGCCTCCACGGCGCCAGGAGCCTTGTTCTTGTCGGGATGCAATTGTAGGGCCAACTTTTTATAGGCCTTCTTGATCTCCGAATCCGTGGCGGTCTTACTGACGGCCAATACCTCGTAGTAGTCTTTGCATCTGTGCAAAAGGGAATTATGGAAATTAGTACAGAGGCAAATGGCAAAGGGTTTTCGTGGTGGACAAACTTTTTGATCTTGCGCACAGCCTCTAGCTGATCGTTGGAGTAGTCGGGAGCGGTGTTACGCGAATCCGAATTGGTGCGCTTTCTGGGTCCACTGTCCTTCTCATCGGCGGCAGCCGCTGGTCGAGATTTGCCATTGCTGCCGCTGCCAGGTGTGCTCTTCACCCTAGCCAATAGCTCTAAAAAAAGAATATCGATTTAGAATCTATGGGAATATGGAAATAACTACACTGCTTACTCTTTGCATTCTCCGTGGGATAGAGTTTCTCTGCCTTGAGTAGAAACTTTTCTGCCTTGTCGGTTTTGCCCTCGGCCAGGGATTGCACTGCGAGGTCGATGCAGCGCTGTGCTTCGTCTTTGTTGCCCTCCATGTTGGTTGCTGGATGTTGCCTCTTGAACAGGTGATGACTTTATTGGATACTACGTGGTGTTCGACGCGCTGTTTCGTCAGTAAATACTGACTTATCACTGTGTGCGTAGGGCAGCCCGTATGTGTGTATATATATTATATATTTCCGGACTACACACACTTTACACTCATCTGACAGGGCCTGCTACTGGTGATCTACTATCAGTTTAGGCGCTGCTTTATTGTTACTTGCAGCTGCAACTAATATTGCCTATTTACTTCAGGTCTTGCACTAGAATTTAATTGATTTTTACTAGGACAGGATAAATTTTTCACTAGGGCTGCATGAACATTGATGACAGTATCGATACAAGCCGATTCTTTCAGAATTGTGCGATAGATCGACTCTTACGACTATCGTTTCAGAGAAAATTAAGGAATTTTAGATCTAGAAAATGTACTTTAAATGGAAATGGACAAATAATTTGCTAACCAAAAACCCTCAACCAGAGAATCAATTTAAAAAATCAATAAAATTATTTTATATGTTTGCGATACATCGATGGTTGAAACCATTCGATGGTGAAATCATCGGCGGAGCGAACATCGATGGTTTTGCAGCCCTACCCACGAGCACGAATGCGCTGATTCGGCCTTAATTCCGTCATATTTATTTAGTAATATAAAGTAATAGAAAAAGGCAAATGCAATGCTGCATTCGATGAGCTAGCCAAACGGGCTCCAATTACAAGTGAAGTGCAATAAAATTAATTAACGGCAACCAGGCGGTCCCTGCCCCGTGTGCCCCCTATTCACACCGCGTACGCTCTTGTGTGTTCTCTGTGTGTGTGCGTGTGCGTGCGTGTGTGTGGTGTTTGGCCTGGAAAAAGTGAAAGAAGCAATAATTTTTTTCGGCCATATTGTGTGTTGTCATTGCTCGGGTAAAAGTGCATTTTGAATGCAGATGCAACTGTCACACACAGCAAAATATAATACTCGAAATACCCCGATATATCCATTGAGTAAATAGTGTTTGTGTGCGCCCGCCGACTTATGTAAATCGTGGGAAGAATAATACTATTTACATTCACAAAGAGGTGCGTATTTTCTTTGTGTGTGTGTGTGCATGATGGGTGGGGGGTTTGGTTTACTATTTGATTTATTATTAACTCTAAGAAATTAAAACTAGACGGAGACATTTGTGGGGCGGTTACTTTTTGCGGGATATACAGACGGGAACTCCGCCTTTGGCCATCAGGGGTATGCCATATACACCGAACTCGATCTCCCGCTTCTCCTTGCGCATCTCCAGGTTGAAATTTGAGAGCACCTTGGCCACTGCAAGCTTAACATTGACTTTGCCCATGCGAAGACCTACAAAGGAACACAAAATCGCATTAGAATCGTTACAGAAAAGAGGATCTATCAATCAATCTCTTACCAATGCAATGACGCGGACCCTCGCCAAAGGGCAAATAGGCCGCTGGATTAAAGTTCTTATTCTCATCCAAATACCTCTCTGGCTGGTATGCCAATGGATCTGTGAAGTACTCAGCATCGCGATGCATTCCAATCAGGGAAATAATAATGGGTGTGCCCTTTTTGATGACCATTTTGCTATCGGGCACTGTATATTCCTGTGTGCAGACACGATTCAGCAGTGGCAGAGCAGGATATTTGCGTGCAGTCTCTGTAAAGGGAACACAATAATAAAAACACTTTTCCATGCGAAGAACAAACTCTCCCTGCCAAAACTTACCCATTACGCACAGATCCAGATACTTCATGTCCTGTATGGCATCGTAGGTTAGCTTTCCATCGTGCTTCTCCAGCGCACTCCTCACATCCTCCACGGCCTTTGCCATCACCTCTGGATTCTGGGTCAGCTCGTAGATGGTAAATGCCGCCGTTGAGGCTGTCGTCTCATAGCCAGCCACATAGAAAATAAACAGCTGTCCGGCAATATAATCTTTGGAAATGGATTTCAGTCCCTTGCTGTTATTCTCCGCCGACCACATGCCATCATCGCTGCTAATCTGTCCAGTGTTTCGGAGCTGCAACAACAGTTGCAACAGATCGCGTCGCACGATATTTTTCTCCTCCCTAAGATCCACAGTGCGATGGGAGAGTTCTCTCAAGCGTTCAGGTCCCTCCTGAGTCCAACCCAAGCGTACAAAAATCTTCTCCAATCTATAAATGAAAGATTCATGTAATTGAGGAGTTATGTAATTTGCTCAGTTGAGGACTTACCCTGGATACAGGAAGGATGTGGTGCCGCGTAGAATATCCTCAAAACTATTCTGATTGATGGTTTTTGTGATGGCCAGAAATTCGTTGTTGGGATCAGCAAAACTATCCACATCCAGGCCAAAGATTGTCGATGCAATGATATCCACAGCATAACTAAAGGGTTAACAAAGTGCAATTAGATGTAAAAACTATTGGAAAAGGTTTGGAACTCACGTTAACATCAAGGACTTTAGTTCAACCTCCTGGCTACCCTCTTGTGGCAATGTGTTATTCAAATGTGCCACCATCTTATCGCCAATTGCCTCAGCAGTCGGGAACATGGCCTTCAATTTTCCCGATGTAAACGAGGGCGTTAGCTTGGCCCTCAAATTTTTCCAGCTACTGCCTTCCAAGGCAAATATACTGGCCGACATGGGATCGTTCTTCTCATCCACATAGATGCCACGATCATGGAAGCTGGCAAAATCCTTGACCAAAATATTATTCACCAGCTTGGCATCCCTCACCAGCAAGGCAGGACGCAGCGTCAGATACATGCCCATCACGGGCTCCTTTGTGGCAGTGTACATGTCATAGATGGCCATTCCAAAGGATCGTTTGCCCCTCCGCACGGAATCCAAGGCGCCAAAAGGTATGGTGACACCCGCCGAGGGGAAACCCTGGCGATCCCAGTAGCTGAATGTCCATTTGAGGTACACATAAAGCAGTGTGACGGCCGCAACCAGCAAAACTATTCCAATCATTGTCGGACAACAGATTCTCTACGTTTCTCTATGGAAATGATGTTGCTCTCTCGAGTGCTCAAACGATTCTAAACTGCTAGATTCCACTGACGATTTATAGTCTTTGGAACGCGTTTCGTGCTCAGCATTTCACCATTTGTACTTACAGAAAGATTGTGTTATCTCTTCAAATTACACACATATAATCCTAGCGGCTTGGCGAACTGGGAGCAGTATTCCCTGCGGGTATTCGGCTTCATCAGTGTGACACTGCGATTTTCATTAGTTGTGAAAGAAAACAAACAATTTTTCTATCGACAGTCAGGTACAAGTACTGCGACTGACGACGCGCCAATAATGATAATGATATAGAAGCCGGCACTTTAATTGTATAAATAATTATATATTATACACAACAACTTTTAATGTGGGTTCTAATTGTTTGTGCTGAGTGCAAATGCAGCCAAGGGAATACAAATGCAATCTCATTATTATTTATCAATTGGGTTGCTAGTTTTTAGTGCGTAAATAATTTTATAGAATGTTTAGGAGATTCTCAGGAATAGAAAGTCATCGTTTAATAACAAATTTCCTATAATTTCCGTTAATCTATAAAGACGTTCATTGAAATACAGTTAATAATAAAATGTTTCTTTATCAACTTGGAAGTATTACCTACCTTAAGGTATTTGCAGACCCTTCATAATTCTTGGAAAATGTTTGAGATAAAACATTAACGTTAGATTAACGCCAGCTGGGATAATCACAAGAAAAACATAGATACAAAAACCATAAACTCAAATCAGGCCAAAAAGGGATATATTATCTGGGCAAAACATAATCCCCAAAAACCTAAGCAGGTTGTTTACTCGATTCAATTTCTTTGTTAATAAACCTTAAACAGGAATTTGTACGCTTATTTTGTTAGACAAAATTTCATGAAATCTAAACGTATAAAAACCGGTTTCCAAGATGCTAATTAAGAGAATCAATTGAAGATTCTATGCCATACGGAAAGGCAGGCACGTTTTGCACCCATATTTAACCAATAAACGAGTAAGCAAAGATGTGTTTGTTCTATAAACTACGTTTACATAGACCAAGCTATATGAATCTATGGAATCCAAAGAGTATAACGACTCGAAACAACGCTTAGGTCATCAAGTTGATAGGTTACATTGTATTCATGTAAAACAACAGCCACAAAAAAAACCTCTATAAAACTATCATAACTCGAATAAATGCCCTCGAAGCGTAACAATTTTTAAGACACAAATTGATGCAGAGAGACTTTTGTTTAATCAAAATGAATTTATAAAACTCTCAGCTTCCAAGCAAATATATTTATTAAAATACAACGCTCATACATGTGAGTCAGTCATAATTAAACACATACATTATAAACAGATCTGTAACATTTTAGTGTAGAAATTACTTAAGAAGTACACAAAAAATAATTAACTATGTACTCTGCTTCGAATAATACTGAAACAAATCTGAGTGCTTTTTTTATTGGTATTAAAAAATTTTGTGTTTCAGATAATAGTCGTATGATCATTAGTAAACTTTGCTAAACGTATTCTTTACGATAAGCAAAAATTAACCAACATTTTTGACAAGAAAACTCTAAGAAATTGATAAAGTTTGGGTTTGATATACTTCTGCCTAGGAAGTATAAACAAATTGATAAAAGTTTCTTCTTGGGGTGTTACCTATGCATAATAAATTGACCTAGGCTTAAGTGGTGTTTTTTGATGGTTTCCCTTCTTTTATAGGTGGGTGTTTCTGTGTAGATCCCACAACTCTTTGAAACCAAAAACTTTCCGCTTGCCGTTTTGTTGACTTTCGACGTTTATTTGATGGGGCATGCATGTGTGGAATAGGAAGCGCAATTGATGGAAGAAGGGGGCTGGAGAGGGCTTCTTTCTGTCTGTCGTTAAGGTTGTTCACTTGAGAACTTTTGTGCGCCGTCAGAGGTACTCTCGTACTCGCGTTTGTTGTTGCTGTTCAGTGGAATGGATGGCAACGACACTGTCATGACGTTTGGGCATGGGCATGGACTCGCAAGACGTTGAACCGATACCCCATGTATTTTTGTATATATCTTTTTTTTTTAAAACGAGTTCGAGTTTGTTTTGAACAAAATATGTTTTTATTACAGTCGTCTCTCCTCGCAGCTAAGCTGGAATTATTGAGGGACGCTAATAGCTCCTAAAATATCACAAAATAAGGTGAGTTTTTTGTCTGTCGTTATATCTATATATCATTTCATACAAATCATAATAATTAAATATTAATCAGCGTTCCTCTTGTTATTGGACTTTAATCAGGCATTAAATGATATCCATTGAACTTTTTGTTGCCCGCAAAAGCATTAGCTCTCCCTTCCTCTTTTTGCCAGTTCCACTCTCTCTCTGCTATTGTTTTGCCTCTTGATAAGCTTCTGTTGTGTCGGGTGTTCTCTTGCAAAAAATAGCCTTGATAAGGGCCTTGAACAGCCGCCATCAAACATCTCTCTCAAGCCGCTTCGCTCTCTAAAAATGCTGCCCACCAAAAAGCTTGCTCTCAGTACAAAAGCTCTTTCTCTGCGCGCAAAGTCAAAACCCAAAGAAAGACAATCAAATGCAAAATCAGAAGACGAAAGCTTTTCAGTGCTTTTTTTCTCTCCCGCTGAACGCAAAAATGAGCTCTATCGCTCTCGCGGCACATTGAGAATTGAGAATGTTTTCTTGGTCGGGCGGGTGAATCAAAAATTGTACGGCAAGCTAAAACAGCTGGTGTGCTTTTTTCGTGTCGTCCGCGACTCCGTACCACACAAAACCCCCCATACATTTACGTCGTCGGCCTAGTGTGTGTTGCTAACTAATTTTCCATAAAAAACCTATTCGAAACGGTAATGAGTACTCCAAAAGGTACACAGAATTATTAGCGTGACCCCCTAGGCGCGTGTGTCTCTCTCCGCAGAGTGTGACTTTAATTGTAGTGGATATTACTTGGGGAAAATGTGTATTAAATCTTGAAGACAAAAAGTGTGCGATAAAAAAGAGCTTTAACCGGAGGTTTAACCCACAAAAACAACGACAGCCAGCTTCCTCGAATCTAACGCCCTTCAAAATCGTTTAAGCCACAAAACCAACCAGAGACCAGTTTCTCCATACACATATCATAACTTTAGTTAGCAGTCGGCTTTTTACTCACGGATTTTCTTATAAAATCAACCCGGTAAATGCTCTCTCTCCCTCCCTATCTATCTAGCCTCCCATTCTCCCTCTCCTGTTCTCTGTCTATCTTTCTGGTTATATCTGTTTCTGCATTTTTCACTCTATCGCGCTTTCTGGTCGTCGCTGACGCAAATCACATGTTCATGTGGTCGTTCGAATTTGATTAAATTTATACACAATTAATTTTTGTTTGCCCAGTATATGAGAGCTTTTGCTTTTAGCGTTGCCAGACATCGCGTTCACATAGCATTGACATTCTACAAAGGCAGAAAGAGACCGCATCAACGAAAGAGAGAGGGCGAAGAGCGGCGGCAAGCGCTACACATGTTTTGTGAAAAAGCTCTCCCATCCACATCCATGCAATTAAAAACATGTGCTGTGTCCACTCTGTCTGTCCACTATTTTTGTTTATTGTTTATAAATGAGAGAGGCTACTCTCTCTCTTGCTGGTTTTGTTTCCCTCTCTTTCACACTGCACTGGAGGTCAGTCTCTGCCGCAGCAAAACACCCACAGCAAATGCCGGCGTTGCGCTGTCAACTGCGCGAGTTTTTAGCTTTGCTAAAAGCTTATTTTGTGTGTGTGTTTTTTTCTTATTTTCTTGTGTGCTGTATGTGTGTATATAGAAGTCCATATGTGTGCGTACGTGTGGAAACGAGTGATATAGGAAGAACCTTGTATTTATACATACAATATGCTCGTGAGGCTATGGAATGGAATGGCATTTAGTAGGTTGTAGTTTTTGTTGTTGCTGCTCTACAGCTCTTGTTGTAGTTTCTCAATTCCGTTAAAGCTGCTGTCCCACCGCCCTTCCCCCTGCTCTCCGCCGATATTCGCTTTCTGTTATCACAGAGTTTATTTCTTTGGGGTGTCTGTACATGACATTTTAAATCATCTTAGAACTTCGTTTCAAGTGCTTCATAAACGATGTTTTAGATGCATCAAAGCGTATCTCGTGGATATTTCGTAGTAAAAGGTTTCATTTTGGAACCAGTTATAACAAACTTCTACGTTCTACTGCTTATTGTAGCCTTTTCATGGTCAAGCAAGCCAAATTGCTGATTGAAACGTTTTAAAATCAATTCCTCAACTTTTATTGGATTGGATAAAAACACCGTTTATAGTGGTATCGACACAACTGCTTGCCTAACGGCTTCGTTTATTGGTCTTATTCCGTTTACTGATTAAAGCAGTGGATGTTGTCAAACTGCTTTCCCAGATTCTTGCTGATACTTCCTTCTAATTGGAAAACTGCTTCTCTTGAACGAATGGTAAACAACTGCTTGTTACATAAACATATCCCACATTCAAGCAGTAGAAGAAATCAAGCCGTTCCCTCAATTCCATTTAAAATGTTTTCCCAATTATTTTCCTACAAGATTCAGCTGCTTCCTCCTCCCTCCCCTTCTTCTAGTTCTGATTCTACTTCTTTGCGTCTTGGGCGTCAATGCTGACCTCCAAAGCTTTTTTTTTGCACTGATTTATTTTGCCGGCTCGCAGCAGCTGCGGAAGCGCCACCAGATTTCTACTTTTGCATCATCTGTGCCGTTCCTCTTGTACTTCTTTGCTCCTCTTTAGTTCCTCTTTTGCTTTTCTCTTTTTTTATTTTTCTGTTTTTCATTCTTGTGTTTTCTTTTTATTGATTTCATTAACTATTTAGCCCCGAATGCTGTGGATTCTTTTTTAATGCCGGGCCATGTGCAAATGTCTAGAAAGAGATGCAGGCAGGGGTTCACACAGCGTGTACGAGAGAGGTCTAGACTGAAGGAGAGAGCGAGATGGAGCTTAAAGCACTCTTTGTTTAATTTTTGCTTATCAGAAAACAAAAAAAAAAACAAAATAATTCTGCTTCTGCTGATAACTGGAATCGTTTTT